ATCACAATTTGTTCGTCGTTAGGTATTTATTAACATTTTTTGAAATAACCGTTACGTTGTAATCTCAAATAATTTGACATTGTCTCCGAAAATAATTAATTTTGCAGTTTTACAATCATAATTTATGCATCTCTAGATCTAAAGAATCTAGAGTGAAGTCTCAGCTATATTCCCATTATAATTTTGTAAAGATTTGACGCATAGTTAATGAGTTATTAACAATTTTTGGGAGGTATGTTTATCGGTCAAATGGTATCAGGAGCCGTAGGAAACAAAGTTATTGGCACGTTCAGACTATTGACATCCTTGTTGCGCCATCTATCTGTCCTTGTCTGAACCGTTACGGCAATAGGATAGAAAAATACTCCCGCGCAAAAATTGTTAATAGCATATTAATTACTAACCAAATGTGATTAAATTTGTAACTGGTATGTTGCCAGAGGTCCATTCTACATTCTTCGATTATAAATAATCACAAATGATGTCTGCAAAGTCGGGAAATTAATTATTTGTAGAACGATGTTTAATTTTTTGAGGTTACGCGGGGATACTGCTTGTCAAAATTAATTAATAACTCTCTAATAACGCATAAAATCTGATCAAAAACTATACGTGAAAGTAGCTGAAGGTCCATTCTATATGTTGCAATCGCAAATGTTTATAAATTATTCCTGGGAATTGAGTGATTAACGAATCTTCCCTCGATTTGTTACGTCGAGAGAGAGTCACACAGTGCGTCCTTCTCTCGCTCCGTAAAACGCATAAGTTTGTCCTTGTCGGATACCTCCATCTATATCATGTGTTCCTACCACTTACCAGGGAATTCGAAGTCCGTCGAAAAAGTTGGTGGCACAACCGCGACATCTAGTCTCCTTGTCGCACACTATCTCCGTCCTTGTCTTACACATGGTAGAGATAGGGAAAGTTAGTTCACAAACCCGCCACCTTAGATGGCGCTACCGCGCTCTCTTTCGATCCTTGTCGCACGTACTGTCTTTGCTTGTCGTACTCACTACGTTCATTAGCGAAATGTATGAACATTTCGGATATCATTAATAACTAATTAACGAGGAATCGGAACGGCACGAATATTTAAGAGAAAGATTGCTTATGTTCCTGCAAGATTCTGAAAATATTTAAAATCTACAAATTGCGATTGCAGTTTAATAAATTAATTATTATTCGAGTCAGTGATTACTGAATACCTACAGAAACAGTGGGTTTGAAAAAATTGTAATTAACTATACAATTAGAAATGAAACTGAATAATAGACTATGCGTGAAAAAAAGCAGTAGTTATAAATAAAAAGAGTAATATTTTTAAATTATCACTGAGAAATACTATTTCCCATTAATTCTATCGTGTCTCCCAGACTTCTTCTCTTACAGACTTTAAGTTCTACGTGTGCAATGGAAAGGAAACCACGAACAACAAATTTCGGCGATTTAAAACAATAATTTATTTCGTAAAGAACTATCTTATAATGTCGCTAAGCCTAGTGGACAGGTTATTGCATCTGCTTCCTTTAAATAATTACCGCTTACGGTACAGACGAATCGATCAAACGATGAGTAATAGTTTCTAATACTATTCAACGTATTTACAGTGAATCGCAGTCATAGAGGATGTTCCGTACTCGGGAACGACTACGTATCATTATGTTACAAATTCATTCGGGCAGATCATTCGCATTAAACAAATTAAACGCAATGGAACAACGTTACAATAATGTTAACAATTGACGTAAAAAGTGAACAAGAAAAGAAATTCAACGCAGCAATTTATATCTAAATCCGAAAGAGAAAATAACCGTATCTTAACAGAATCGAGAAGACCGTGTAGATCCCGAAGAATCAATGTTGACAAATTTTTTCAATAAAAATTTCTCGTGTCAGAATCGTTCAGCCTGATCCACGATCTTTCGATATCAACCTATCTTATCGCAATAACTCTGTGCATAGAAAAACCATGTTGGAACAATAACGAACAAGTTTAATGGGAACGTTGTTCCCATGAAAAAAGAAAAAGAAAATTAATCCGCTACTCTTCGAACAATTTTCAACGCGCGAAAACATTTGATCACATAGACTTCGTTATGGATGTCTTAAAAAATCTAACTGTAAAAACGAGTTACATTTACAATCTTATGTATGTTTTCCGGTGATTATTCCGAGAAAGCTTGCTGGACGACTTCCAGTACAGTTGGGTCTGTATCTTTCGCGCAACAATGTTCTAAACAAAACAACGTTGACTCAAACGAACAGGAACGTATTTACAAGCGATTGTCTGTTCAGCCGAGTCTCTGCGGTAATACTAGACGCGATAGATTCAACAACGAATCTCGGACAGCGCGGAATCAAGCTTCTCTTCGCAATGTCAGGTACCCTTTCAAGGGAGTCACGATTCCGTCTTCTCGGGAAGAGCAGCCTCCTCGTCCACCTCGGTTTTCATCTTCTGTTTCACTTCCACCTGCTTCTCCTCCACCTCTTCGTGTTCCATCTGCCCGTCAACATTGATCTCCTCCTCTTCTTCGACAACGTCCGGCAACATCTCCTCTTTCACGGTGATGCCGTCGTCGCAGTTTTGTTCTTCAGCCTCGGCCGCTTTCATTTCGACGTTCTGCACGGTTTCGTGGGGCGGTGACATTTCTCCAGGACGATGGAACGTCAGCACGTGATGATCAAGCTCGGCCCTGAAGAAGAACTTCAAGGTGCACTTCGAGCAATCATAGGGTCGGGCACCAAGACCATGTTCTTGCAGCATGTGGTTCTGAAAAATATTTTAAATGAATTCCGGTCTTTCAGAATATTTCGTCGATAAGAGATTCTTTCAGATCGCTTGGTACCTGAAGACCGATCGGAGCAGTGAAAAGGGACTGGCAAATGTAACAGCTGAGAGCAGCGCAGCCGGCGAAGGTGTGCTCTATCAGGTGGCTTTGCAACTGCAGGGGGCTGCTAGCCTCGTAGAGACACAGATGGCATCGTAGAGCATCGATAGAAGTCTTTCCCGTCGCCTCTAGGTGTTCCTTTCTGACGTGTTGCTGTATCTTCGCTTCCGACGGGAACGACATCTGAGAAATGCGGATCAATTGTTAAAACACCGTTAAACAAATATCAAACAACGCGAGAAGCATGACTAACTTACCTGACACTGTATACAGGTGTACGTGTTGGACCCTGCTGCAACTTTGTCGTGCTCCGCGAGCCTGTGTTTCTCCAATTCCTCAGGATCTTCGAACTTCACCCCGCAGTCTTGACATCTTTTATTATCACCCTGCTCGTCGACCCTGTCCTCGGCTTTGAAGACCCTATCGGACTCCCATCTATCTCGAGACCCGTCCCATTGCGACTCTTTGCTGCTGGGGATCCAGCCTCTGTCGTTCTTCCCTCTGGCGTGCTCGTAGGGCGAATTTAAGATGGGCAGACCCTGTGAGTGGCGAATGTAGCAGGACTTGCAGACCCTCAAGGACTGTCCTCCGCCGGTGATGTGGCTAGGAGGCAGGCTGACGAAGTCGTCGGCCGAGTAGTCTCTCAGACAGAGACAGCACCCTGGACTCTGGCTCTTCTGGTTCGGGCTAGGACTGGACGCGGTGCTCTGCGAGCTGGTGGACGATCTGAGATGATGCCTGGCGTGGAGACGGCACTCCAGATCGCTGATCAAGGTCTGTCTGCAGACGACACAGGCGGCGGGGAGATGAGGAAGGGAGCCGTCGAGTCGCTGCTGAGGGTCGACGTTCTCCAGACTGTGTCTCTGCACGTGCTCGAGGAAGTGGGCCTCGGTGGCCAGGTTCCCGCGGCAGACGACGCAGGTGTCGCTCAGCTGGATCTTGCAGTGCTTCTGCAACTTGTGCTCGGCCAAAGTCGCTCCGGAGGGGCACACCTCGTCGCAGATGTTGCACTTGTGCCTGCCGCCGGGCTCGTTGGAGGCGTGCTGGATCCGCGTGTGGGATTCCAGCTCGGTTCTGGAGCGACAGACCTCGCCGCAGTAGGCGCAGGTCATGCTGAGGCTGGACAGAGACTTGGTCTGAAGCTTCGCAGGGGCGTGGGCCAGCTTCTTGTGTGCCTGCAGCTCCGCCTCGTTCGCGAACTCTCCTCTCTCGCAGAGCTCGCACTGCTGGCCCCCGGTGCTGCTTAAATTCGGCCGCTTGTTGTTGTTGTCCCGTTGGTTCAAGGAGTTGTTGTTGCTGGAGGCCGGGGAACGGCCCCTCTTCAGGGACCTCGGCTGGAAAGGCGGAGACGTTATTTTCTCTCGATCGCGGTATCGTCTAATTATCTACTATCGTCTAATTATCTTCTCTACTCTAATTATCTCACCTCTTCCTGCGTTCTAGGCGGTCGCCCGACCCTCCCGTTCTCCCTGGAGCTGCTGCGTACGGCCTGATGGTCGCTGGAATGATGGGCCTGGACCATGTGTCTGTCCAGCAGGAACTCCACGGCGAAGCCTTCCCTGCAGATAGGACACCTGTACAAGCTGGTCGAGTGACTGGCCAGGTGAAGCTGCAGCTCCAGCTCCGAGTTGCAGCAGATCCCGCAGAACACGCATCTGGGGACAGCGTTGCCGGTGACGCCGGGGGTGGAGGCGGGACTCCTGGCCACGGGGCTGCTATTGGAGACAGTGGATGGCGCGTGCACGTTCCTGACGTGGTTCGCCATCTCCGCTTCGCTCCTGAAGAAGCTTCGCCCTTCGCCGGGCGCGTTGCCGGGCGAGTTCTCGTTATTGGAGACGGTGCACGCGTTGCATCTGTAGATCCTGCACTCCTGGCTGTGCTTCACCGCGAAATGCACCTGTATCGCGACCCTGGAATCGAAAGTGTCCCTGCACAAGGCGCATCTGTACAGATGATGCGCGTGGCTGTCGAGCAGGTGCCTCTGCAGCAGATCCGGATGAGTGTACAGCTTCTTGCAAGCCCCGCAAGCGTACTCCTTGCTGATCTGGCCGAGATAATGCTTGGTGAGATGCGCCAGCATGTCCTCCCTGTCCTGGAAGCTGGCCTCGCACTTTGGACAAGGGTGCCTCATGGCGTCGTTCCTGTGATCGGCCTGCAGATGCCTGGCCAGATGCTCCCTGAACGACTCGAAGTCCTTCAAAGCCGCGCCGCACTGTCCGCAGAGCAGGGTGCCGGCGGTGTAGCTGCTCTCGGTGGGTCTGGAATGTTTGCTGGTCAAATCGGCCGGCTCCGACATCGAGTCCCGTGTCTTCTGGCTTCGGGATGTCTTCGAGTCGCCGTAGCTACCGTTCATCTTCGCGTCCCCGTACTCCACGCCGTCCATAGGACCCAGTCTCCGGTTCTCGCAGTGCTGGAGGACGTAGTGCTCGGCGTAGGCCGCGCCAGAGGCGCACGGGATCCCGCAAAGGGGGCACATCATCAGCGCGGACCCGAATCCGTCGGTTCTGTGGATCGAGACCAGGTGGTCCCTCAGCGTGGCCAACGTCGAGAACTTCATGGTACACTGGTTGCACGTGAACGCGTTCTCGTACTGGTCCTTCTCCGTCGATCTGTCCGCCTCCTCTTGGTACTTCCTCTCGTGGTGGTCCTTCGAGGACCCCTCCGACCGAAGCGATCCTTTCTCTCGCTGGTAACCGGCCGGCTCGGCGTTCCTGCTGGGCGACGGCGGCACCGCCACGCTCTCGCCGCTGAGAATCGCCTGGTGCATCGTGTGCACGTGCATCTGCAGCTGCTGCATGCAGCTGAACGAGTCCCTGGTGCAGTACATGCAGGCCAGCTTCAGCGGAGAGCTCAGGATCGGCGTGGTCGACGCGCTGCCGTGCGAGCTTTTCAACCCGGCTTTCGGGTTCAGGGCGAGGTTCAACGAAGGCGACGGGGAACTGGGAACTGGCGGCGAGGACGTGCTGTGGGAGGACACGCTGCGACGACCGTAGTCCACGTCCTGCAGCTTCGTCGCGCCCTGAGACTGATGGTGGTGCTTCTTGTGGGACTGCATGTGCGACGTCAAGGCGGCCGCGGTGTTGTAGCCTCGGGAGCAGGCCGTGCATTGGTACGGCTTCTGGGTGTCGTGGGTCTTCATGTGGATTTTCAGGTGGTCGCTGAAATCAGACGGGTACAATTTGAGACATTCTGGAGAGAGAGGAGAGAGACTTCTTTCGTAGTTTGCGCGTAGAATCGGTCCGCGGTGCGGAAGTTGCGTACCGAACGCGGTTAAACGACAATCGAATGAAATATTTCTACAGTGAAAAGGTCGTTCGAGTACGTAGGTACAGTAATGTCTCCCTAACTGACGCTCAGATTGTGCACAAAAATGGACGATTTGGGAAGAGGAGATATGATTATCCGAGCCTTGCGGTTCGTTCTTGTAATTACGAACTCTCAACAACTATAAAAACGAGCTGCAAGGCTCGAAATTAACCATTTTCGTGGACAAACTCAATTCGAGAGATATTACTATACATCCAAATCGAGTGTCACATCTTGAAGTTGAAATGTAACGCGAACTATTTGTGATGTTTCAGGTTTCTTTATTTTAATGTAAAGTCCATTGCGTTACGTTGATCGTTCGAATAACCGCCCCGGTTTTTTTTCCACGAACCTGACTTCGTTTTACACAATTTTCCGTTATATTATTGCGTAATCGGGGTTCTATTTCATTAATGGCGGCTATGAATATTGTTTTTTAGCTCGTTAATCGTTTGTGATTCATCGGCGTAAACTTTGCTTTTTAAAATGACCTCGCAAGAAAAAATCTAAATGAGTTGCATCGCATGATTTTGATGGAAGGGGGGGGGGTCAATGTCTCCTCCTCAAAAGATCGTCCATCGATCGTCCATCGAATGTTTATAATAATTTTCAACAATTTGTTCACGATTAACGATGACGTGTGCGAAATATGATAAATAACAATGAAACCGTTTAACGATGCTTTCTATTCGGAAGACGTGAGAAGAATGGGAACTTGCGCGATCATTTAAGCGATCAAATTCTCCATTTGAGACGACTCTCGCTAAATCGCCCGAAAGAAGCGATCGTCGACTGTCGCGAGGCGACGGCCGCGTAATTCAATGACTCGCGCGTGCGAACGCGAAGCGACAGACACGCGTATCTATGATCTATGGAACACAAAACCGCAGAAATGCCGACACGGCAGTGTACGATTGACTGCGCAGTACGAAACCGACGACATCAATCCGCCTTCACCTGCGTGGAATTTCCAATTCGAATGTCTTCATCGCGGTGAGCGAAGCGGATAAAAAGCAGCTTTCTTAGCGCTGCGTACAGTAAATTCTCCCTAATCGACGCTCAGATTGTACACCGGGTTGGATAAAAATTAATACGGAAATCGCGATATTTTAATCAGTCAATGTTCGTGGAGAATCTTTTACACTCGACTGCGTTTTCGAAGCGAGTTTTAAAAGCGCAACCATCCGATGAACGCACGATGTTTGCGAGTTCGCTTTGCGCGGTACAATAAAAAAAGTCTCGCAATCTGGAAATGTGGGGTTCCTGAGGTCATTAGAAGCAACTTTTTCCTTTACACAAATTTTCTTCGAAGCATCGTTAACGAGTTATTGACGAAAAACGCTGACCAATAAGAGGCGAGCTCACTTGGAGCGAAACGGCCTAGCCAATGAGCGCGCGAAGCCTAGATCCGCTCATTGGCTCCGCAGACTCGCGCCAGCCGAGCTCGTCTCTCATTGGTCACCGTTTTTCGTTAATAACTGGTGAACAAAGCCGCGGATTGCATTTTCGCCAAGGAAAAAGTTGCTTCCAATGACCTCAGGAACCCCACATTTCCAGATTGTGAGTCTTTTTTGGGACACCCTGCATATATTAACATAACATATATAAGATATATTTTATATATATTTTATATATATCTTCTACCGCATTCGGCACACAACGGACTCACCGAGCGGTCTTCAGCCGCAACAGAACAAGAAGAAACGTCGTAGAACCGTGAATCCCGCGAAAGCGGATAATGTACAGCGTCCGAAACGAGAACGACGGAATCGGGCTATCCAGCACGGTTTAAAATTAGCGGATATCGGACGCGACAACGGTAACCACGGCGGTGGCTAAACTCTCCGCGGGATCAGCGCCGGCCGGCGATAAGAGCCGCGACGAAAGCGGACGTTGAAATTTCGGAAATCTGTCAGACATCCGGCGGCCAAAAATAAAGGGTGTCGAGGCGAGGCGATACGAACCGGATGGGTCAACAATTTTCACGCGACGGTACCCACCGGCGGATGAATAATTCATCCCCCCGGCGGAAAACTAAATCCGTTATAAGGCGAGGTCAGACACACGGGCGAGCGAACACACGGGACGCCGCGGACCGGTCAGTGTCTCGATTTCCAGAAACGAAGACAGACGGCAAATTTGCTCTTGCACTTTACGCCTGAATAATTCATAAGCCAGGATTATCGGCCGGCCAGCCTGGCCACGTCCTATTATCGCCTGTATCGCTTCCCGCTCGTTGTCTATCCGACCGAGGAAAAGGGGAAACTGGCCGTCGGACTCTCTCACGTGTTCCTCGTGGGCCCCCCGGACCTTTTCGAACGAAGACATTTTCAACGAAAGATCGGCGAACTTCGAAACGGGGAAACGATACCGCGAGTGGAAATATCGAGAACCGGGTTGCGCGGTTAACACCGGAAACAACGACTCGAGGATTCGGTGGAGTTCGAAGGGACGATTCGTCGGTAAATCCGTCAGCGGTCGCAGTAATCACGGCGGAGTGTTTAGTAAATGAAAAAAATGGCCGGTCATTATCCCCGGCAGGGGCGGAGGCGCTGTTAGGGGCCAGGAAGGGAGGAAATAGAAATAAATGGAGCAGAAGAGAGCTCCACCCAGCGAGCTTTCCGGATCTCCCACGAGTTCCGTCGGCTCTCGGCCGTCCAGGGTCGCGGAAATTTTATTTACGCCCCTCGTTTGCGAAAATAATAGAAGCCCCAAGGGATGCGACTGTTTCGACCGATCTCTCGCGGGGACTGGCATCCCGCTGTGTCACCTTTTTAACGGGTCCCTGACAGATCGCAGCACTCGTCGATCCGCGTTTCGTCTCTTTAAACGTCGATCATAAGTGAATCTCGTTTGACCGACGAGTTCTCGAGCAAACGTTTAAGCCCCTTGTCTCTGGCTGTTATCCGAGGCAAAAGAATTCGTCGTTTTGTGTTCGCGTGGCAGATGATACGAGGGCGACGGATCGATCGTCGACGATCTACGTCGCGCACCGCGATCCCCCGTGGCTGCGGGATCTATGTGAGAACCACGGGGGTTTTCACCCTTTTGTTGGGTCACCCAAGCCGACCGTCAAGCACCGGGAACGAATAGAGATGTGGCGTAAAGATCAGCCGGCGCGATTGTAATAATGGCTGACAGCAGAAGGCCTCTGTTAGGACTTCGAGTTCGCGTCGAAGCAGCCACGAAGAACCTCCGATCGATTCGTGATCCAGCAACCGATTCACCGGTTGATCATCGCCGACGCGAAAACAACGAAACGTGAACGTTAAACAGGAATTCCGGCGCAGAAAACGCGAACGAGAAAGCGGAGTTTCTGCTCGCTAGAAATTCTCTCAGACGTCCGATCTTCGCCGAGATCTCTCTATAATCGGGAGAACACTGGCATCCATAAGTCAGCAGTTCCTTTTAGAATCCTTCGCAATTTCGGTAACCGTGGAGCAAAGATCTTGAAACCTTAGCGAGTAGTTTTTAGCATCTGGGTCACCCGGAGCATTATTTTATTATCCGGAGAATTATTCGCGTAGCCCCAGCCAGCGTTTCCTGCATCGTTGGATGAACCAATTTACTTCAAATTTCATGGAGGTATTTCCCGCATAGAGTATTCTGCACGAAAACGCGCGATTCTTTTGATATGTCAATTACTATGATATGTCAATTACTGATATGTCAATCACTTTTTGGGATCGAAACAGCAGCTTTCTCGTCGAAGCACAGTCATTTCTACAATTATCAAAATTCTCGAGCACTATGTTTTTTCGAAAGAGTCTAGTTTCTAATTTATGAATCAACAAGATTTTTTCTTCTACGAGTGGTGGATAAACTTTTTGTACGATTTTTTACTTTTGAAAAATTGAAAAACGAAGCCGAAGCTTACATTTGTGCCCTCTTAGAAAGGCTAGATTTTTTAAATTAAACAACTGCCTATCAAAAGATTCCTATTTCGTAACGCCTCGGGAGGGTATCCCCCACCCTTTAAAGGATCGGCCGGCAAGGGGGGTGGTAATTCTCGATCGCCGTAGAAGTCGTGAGCGCGGTTTAAGAGTGTAAGGCCGGTCGGACGAGCGGGAACGAGGCACTTGACTAATGTTCTACCTGTTGTCCCGTAACACCTATGCGCCTACCTGTCCGCCGCTCACCTGGACAAGCCGGGGGCCCCTTCTTCTCGCGTGCACGTAGCATTCAGGACGGCCGGTTGCGCGTATAGGGAGGACGGACACTCGAACACGAAAAAGGTGAGCGCCGGTTAGGTTCGCCACCCTCGCGTTCTCCAGCTTAGCATTTCAATACGCGAGAAGACCGAGTGAATGCTCGGCGAGGAGAGAAAGAGCGCGCGCGAGAGAGAGAGGGAGAGAGAGCTGGAGAGAAAGAGAGACGGGTCGAAGGGAGATAGAAATAAAGACGGGAAAAGGGGCCGTCGAGAAGAAAACCGGGAGAGGGCGAGAGAAGAGAGCCACGTGAGAGAGTAAAGCTTGACTAATGCGAGCCGGGGCCGCGGTCGTCGCGCGATCATTACTCATTTGTCACCCGGTGGATCGGTCCCCCGGAATATCGGGGCCCTCTGTGTTTAGCCCCCACTTTTCCCGACTGTCTCCGGGCCCCTCGCTTTCACAACTTCCACCGGCCAACCGGGGGATGATTGATTTTTCGAGGCGAGATCCACGTTTCTCCGTTCCGCGATCGATCTCGAGATCATTTTCCCGGGGATCCGCGGCTTATTAAGACAAATTATTATCGAGGCATTCGCCGCAGTTCAAAGAGCTTAGCGCCTTTAAAAGAGTCGTCTACATTCGGGGGTGAGAAGATCGATTTTTCTATCGCACTTTCTTCAAGTTTGAATCCTTGAAAACGTGTCATCCTGAGCTATTTTACTGAATCCGTTGTCTGTCATCAAATCTTGTTCCCCCTGTAACGTTTATTTTATTCCGGATTATACCTATTACATTTGTAGGATTTAAAAGGAACCTGTTGATGAATAATAATAATAATAGAAAATGATTAGAATCGGTTCTAATCGAATCAGAAGTCGCAGCTAGTAAGCAGTCCGGTAATCGCATCCTTTAAAAGTGACCTCTCGCCCCGCCTCGATATTGTTGCACGGCGAACAATTACGCGACTCGAGGGTTCAGAAAGGGTACGATGATCGCGACGGTTCACCATTCGCTGTCGCTACGCGGACGGTATCCTAAGTTAAAGGTACGAGTTCTCTTACCTCCTGGAGAAAGCTGCCTCGCAGTGCGTGCATCGATATCTTCGATCTCCGGTGTGCAGCTTCACGTGTCGATCTCTGCTGCGTTTGTGTTTGAATAGTCTGGCGCACCAGCTGCACCGATACGGCATTTGATCGCCGTGGCTCTGCAACGTTAACATATCTATGATCTATCTATTGATTGGACGTGCACATCGATAACCGCGGGAACAGGTCTCTAGACAAATTCGTAGAAACTGGCGTCGCCTTCTCCGTTGCAAACAACGTCAAACAGAAGGAATAGTTCGTTAGATTTTATTCAAATGAAGCAACTCTTGTTGTGCGATAATTAGACTGCGGATCTTTATGCGAAATAAAAGATTTTCTTTCTCAATTAATAGCAATTAGCGACCACTTGTGGGATAACATTTGTAGGGTATTTGTTGCGATGTAATATATGCACAATGATTTTGCATTACATTTTTACATTGAAATAAAAATTGTCTCTGTTAATTCGAAGAAACTTGAATCAGTTGAAAATGCCTTTTTTCCTTCAATAATTATAACAAGTTGAAAATAATGTAACAATATCCTCGAATTCTTCTGACGACCTTACAGTTTTATATTTGACCTGTTCATTTTTGTCGTAAACGCATAAAATCCGCAGTCCAGTGATAAGCAACTCGATGAAACCGCGAAGGTTTCCATAGCTGCCGATTATCAGCGACTGATAAAAACAAGCCGCGAGATTCGAATAATCGTATCTCCTACTCCCGAGTTGACCATTTTTGCTTCGAAGCTGAGGGACAATTTGCGAGAATTTACTGCACGTTTCCGACTATATTAATATACGAAATTGAATTATGAAGGGGGATTAGTAGCGAGATGACTCGACGAGAAACGAGACCGAAAACGATCCGACGATGCACTCGGATGCACCTCGGAGCAGATGAAGAGAGAGAGGAAGAGTGTGAGAGCGGGGAGAGGGGTTCGACAAGTAAGAAACTTCTCGTCGGAGAAGTTCCCCTGGTTGTCACCCAGGTAGATCACTGTGACCGATATGATGGCGAACGGGTCGGGTCATTCTCTTTGTCCGGTCGTTTTTTCCTCTTTATACTCTGCCTCTCCGTCTCTCCATCTCCCTCGCACCGTCTCTCTCTCTCCTCTCTCTCTCACTCTGGAAGCACGATGCTCTCTTTTCGAGTCGGTGTTCGTAACTCCGGCGGGGTAAGCTCGGCACGTACGACTTTCGAGAGCCGTTTCGTCGGCTCCTTTGAAGAGACAATCCGGACGGAAGGGCGAAGCGATCGCCCGCCGTTCGTCCTGGAAGACGAACTTCGCTGTGTCGTCCGGCTCCGGAAGCCTCTCGGAGAGAGGCTCTTTGGGAGAGAAAGCGTCGAGGAAAGCTTCGCGATTGGCATCGATCGTAAAACTGTCTCTGGGCAAGAAGCGCGACGGAGATTCAACGCGGCGAGACTGCGACCGATTAGACAGCGTGGCAGATTCTTCGTCCGGATGTTTTTCCTTTTGGACGAAAGAACAGGATGTCTCGAGAGAGAGAGAGAGAGAGAGAGAGAGAGAGAGCCGAGAAGGAAACGTTATCTCTGCTATCGAAGCGGTATCCGAGCTGGAGCCGCGATTCAGCTCGCGTGCGTGGAAGCGGCTTTCATCGAGGCTGAAAAGTCCCGAGGAACCCGAACCTGGATAACCACCTTGAACACGATCTACCTGACCGGTACAACCTGTTATGGGACACGGTACAGATTCTGACCCGAAGATGACCCGGTCCGGACGCGGAAGAGCACTGATTCTAATGCCACCGACATGCAAAACAGAAAAATCCGAAGCGGCCACGCGTCCGCCACGCCTCCGGCCGCTTCTGATCTTCCTAGGAGGATCTGGAATACCAGTTTCTACCTGGATCATGCATCTCGACTTTGTTACCGAGATTGCCGACGTGTTCGCGCAACGATTTCGTTCGATTCTAATCGGTCACTCGAATCTCGAACTAACTCAAAACTACGCAAGGTGTTGATATTACATTGTCTTGCCTCGAAGAACCAAGAGACGAGAAATTAAAAGTATTTTCAATACGAGATCGGGATCCTCTGAAGCAAAAACATAAACGATACAAGATAGTACATGCTCGGCATTCTGTAAGAATCTTGGTCCCGTTTTCTTTAGAATTTTCTACATGATTAAAAGACGATATTAAACGCGATATTGTAATTATTTCAATGAATTTGAATTATTTGAATTTAGAAAATTATTATTCATTCCAAGTATGTAATTTTATTGGGCAAAATGAAATTAACGAGCAATTGCCAATTCAAAATTATTGAATTTATTATTGGGGAAATGGTAATTGCAAATAAAAAATCGTGAGACGAGATCAATGCAGTAAATTCTCCCCAATTTTCCTTCAGCTTGTAAACGAAAATGGACAATTTTCATTTGTATAGTTGCCAATTGCCAATAATTACAAAAACGAGGGGGTCGAATTAATCGTAACTCCTCTTCCCAAAGTATCCATCTTTGTTTACAAGCTGAAGGAAAATTAGGGAGAACTTATCGCATTACCTCTTCCAAGAATTAAACAGTAGCACAGAGATAATATTATATTACCGATATTTCTTCAAGAACGGGGCAATATTTCAGCGAGTATCTTAATGCCGTAATAGTGGTATTAATATGGGTCAGATTTTAGGAGATATTGTTCGAACATAACAGAATACTTGACTTTAGGTTAGGGGATTATCGGACAGGGGATGATCGTTCGGGAAGCGTTCCAGTTACCTGTTCGTGCTTCTTCAGGTAGCTAAGCCTCGGAAAAGTGCGGTCACAGAATTGGCATGGATAAGGGGCGGTCGCGTTATTGCCGTCGGCGTTGACGCCGACGTCGGCGTCGACTTCGGGTTCCGACGGGAAGCTAGCTGACGTTGGCGTCGCGCAAGACGAAGGCGTTTCTCCTCCTCGCCGCGAGTTTGGCCCGCCATCCTCGCTGTGCCAAGACGAACTTCCGGTTCCGAGTGCTTCTGCAATCGAAGGAAAAAAGGTCTACTAAGTCTACTTTAAGTATACTTTCTTCGATTTGGTAAAGCCAGTTACTGTAAACTAAATCTTACAATTTTATGGCTTATCCTTAAATCTAGACATTAAATTTACGGTACTAATTTGAACGATTCACTTAAATTCAACCGGTATTACCCCTAATTTACCGATAAGAATATGATGAATTTTCTGATGAGAAAGATAAAATTTTAATAGGTTAACCTATTAAAACCTTACAATTTCATGGCTTCCTTAAGTCCAGACATCAAATTTACAGTACTAATTTTAATCATTCGCTTAAATTCAACTGGCATTGAACCAATTGATTCGGTAAAGGAAATTTTTGCCTCGAAGATCGAGCACGTTCCAGACGACCAACTAACGAGATGTCTGAAATCTTGATCATCCTGAAATTATCTGGCCATAGATATTTAAAAAAAATAAGAAAAAAATGGGAACAGCAAACGATTCCGCCTGACAGTTAGATAACGTCGGCCGTCGAAAGTTGTTCCGTTTCGAACCGACTCGATGAATACATTCAGCCACGCGCTCGAGAAGAAGAACCGATATCGGCCGTCGGTGACGGTTGCGAGGGTCTGATCGATGTCGAAGAGGAGTGTCGATGGCGAGGCGGTTGGGCTCGCTCTATCTGTTGTCGGCCCGGGCCGCCGCTGCGGTGTTTTTCGAAACAGGTTTCTAAATGTCGTAAGAGGGACCAGTTCTTCCATAAGCGTGACCTTACGAACCCCGATGTAGGAACGTTACGCGAGTCCGGCTGACCTCAGCCTCGGAGCCTCGCCCGTTATACGTCCCTTCGGATTGTTTTCGTAACGAGTGTATACGGTGGAACTGGTACCATTAACCCGCGGCTCGTCAAGAACCGCCGCGAGATCCTCGAGGACTGGTCCCCAAGGATAGAGAGACGGACGCGTTTCTCTCGCGGGCCATTCTCCCGGATCGAGTTCTGCTACCCTTTTATCTCGTGGATCGTGTTAACGCGCCTCGCAATTTTTGCCCCGCGGAACGCGGAATGCCGGCTTCTTCTATCCGCTAGGATAGGTGGGAGATGATGCTAACCGACTTACAGCGCCGGGGACAGACGGGATGCTAATCTCTTCTTCTGTCAGCCAGAGGATAGTCGCGAGACACGATCGGGCCCGATCCCGATCCGCTTCTTCTTCCCTTAGGCGATCTTCGGGCTGCGGTTCTGCCTACCCGCGATCGCCTAACAGGATAATATCGCTCGATTCTTAGGCAACCGTTCTTGCCACCGAAGTAGATGGTAATTCGTCGCGATGGTATCTTCGGTGACCGATGCCCTAAAAACGTGACTGCGTACTGTTTTATAGCAATGACAAGATTGCATTCATTTATACTTCGACGATACTGGTTTCTGATGTTTTCTTTTACAATTGCTGCTACTATAAAAACGTTTCCGTGAGAAATTTTTAGACGAACTCCTTCATCGGAGCGTGCATTACGATAGAAATCGCACGAAGTTCGAGTAAATCAAATATTCTCATTGTTATAAAACGATATGCATTAGTCGCGATTAGGTGGTTCTAGTGTCAAGTTATGCCAACCGAGCGACGACTCTCTTATTCCTTGCACCCTTGGAAAGCCGACTTTTGTTTCTTTTTGAATAGCAAAATTTAACACGTACATTTCGATAGATATAGAATTAATTACGCTCGAAAACGAAGCAAGAGCAATTGGCCACCACACAGTAACCGGCTCGACTACCCTAACGAGAACGTTAGGCGACGATCAGCGGTGCTGCTTCAACGATCGTCGGACGGATCAGGTGGATCTTGGAAAGAGAGCGGTCTGGCCGTGGAAAGAAACGCGTAATAGAAGAAACCGGGGTCGAAGGAGACATCCGGACGAGGCGAGTCGAATAATTAATAATTGCCAGGAATGAAGACTCCCACCGGCTCGGATAGAGCAAAGTGGCCCTGGTAAACGGTGGAAATGACTCGGCTAGTTGGCCGTTTCCTCATTTGTCCCGGTCCACGCTCTGGATCCGACACCCACCACTGGATTTAAGAGATTTTGCGGAATCCCGTCTCCTCCGCGCGGCTCCAACCACGAGGCAAGGAGACACCCAACGAGATCGGATCACGTGGATCACGGTTAAATGGGTCGCATCCTACGCCCACGCCGCGTTTTCCCTTCGCCGCGGGCAGCTCGTAGCGCGTGCGGCATCGCGTGCGAGTAATCCGTGAGCCTCGCGGTAGTTGTTCTAATCGTTAATAAAGTTTTCGTTCGAATTATCCGTTTAATAGCCGAGGCGACACGAGACCGCCAGCCGCTGTTCAACGAAACGCTGGGCGACTCTCTCGCTTCGACAGATTGTCTTTGTCCATCACCGGAAACTTTCTCGACGCGGCTTGCAAGCGAGTCGGGTTTATATTTCAATTTAATTACAATAATAATGTTCATTTGATCAATGGGTGAAAGTACCTGCGCTAAAATAGTATGACAATACATCAATGGGTAACTTCCTGTATTCAAGAAATTAATTAATTAATTAATTAATTAATTATGTACATCAAAACGTTCTCCACGTAATTATCGTAACTCCAACAAATTTATACGTTTTCTTGCATTTTTCAAGTCTGCCATAAATGCATAAAAATCTGATCATCTGATCATTATATGTAAAACAACGTAAACAATATTTGATGTATTTATGTTTCTTCTTTATATATTTTTCTTTTTACATATTTTTTCTTTTTTACAGTGTATTTTTCTACCTTTTTCTTCGGCTATGTTGAGACTAAATAGGTTTCCTGTATACAATAAGAAACATCAATAAATAATAATAAGCAGATGATGCAATGAAAGAAAATTTCGCTGGTCAATCGAGGATCGTTGGACACCTCGACAAGGGTGGCTCTTGAGAAGGGTAGGCGCGTTCCACCGCAAGTAACCCCGCGATGCCTCCTCGGTCGATCAGGTGTTCCACCGATTGTGCAACAGAGATCTCGTGAACGTATCGGGGCACTCGCCCAATTGGCATCCCGCGTGACTCACGCGCGCCTCTTCTTGCAGAAAGAGAGACAAGGCGGATCGGGTGAGCACGCAATAAATAGAAACCGAGCTGCCGAACGGCACCCAGCTGATCCGCTGTCGTCGGGAATTCGACTGCGGGACTGCCAAGAGAAATCGTACGAGGAACGACGCCGTCGCCGACGTCCCGTTCATGGGGAACTCCTCTGATCACCGGGACAGGCATCCGAAACACTCCTCGCTTCAAATCGTGTACCCTTACTTACCATGTTCGACGATGAATGGAACATGATCTTGCATCGATCGCGTTCGCCGTCCGTTAGCTTTGGATCGCTTTTGATTAGTTCATCCCCCCCGAAAGACTGTACAGGCAACGATCGTGTTATACGGGGGTTAGATCCGAAAAAATGCAGTATCATGTGAATTCGAGTTATACGAAACGAAACATGCTATTGTATTTGTTATAATTAATTAGGAGCGATATATTCGTTAAAGTAATTTTCATCGAAATGATTACATATTGATATTAAATAAAAATACGACGTTTTCAAGTGTACGTAATGTTTCACGAATTAATAAGTGATTTAGTGCGATATTGCAGCGGGGTTAATTTCGAATTTTGCTCTTAAAAAACATTGAGCGTCGCACAGTTTATCTGAATATTGTATCTAATATTTAAATAATTTAACCTAATTTTATCTAACTTATTTATCCAATTATCAAACCATGTGCGAGCAAACCCGTGCTATAGGATGTCCTGTTTTATGAGGGTTGTAGAAAACCATGTTACATAAGTGCCGTGTTACACGAGGATGTAACTGAGAGTCTGTACTCAAATTCTGCCAAGCGATGATCGTTCGACCAAGCGTATCAATGATTTCAGATTTTTTTAAAGAAGAATGGAGGGTGCTATCGCGAAGCATGACGATCTTCAAGGTTCCCCAACCCTTCTCCAACATCTCTTTCGAGCAAAATGTTCCGGAATCGTTCGAACCAGATGTCGGCCGATTCCGCGGACTCCTGGAGCAAAAGGGCGCCCGATGCATAAAGATCGGCAGACAAGGACGCAAAGGCTCGCAGGGGGATTCGAGGGTGTTTTATTTAGAGTCTCGATTCCGTCCAATCAGCGGCGATGTGTCATCGGCGCGAAAATAGTCGCACTTAACACTGGCAGCTCTTTTCTGCGCGACCTGCCGATGCCAGCCGTGTTGCATTGTGTTTTTGTCTTTGGTACGTGTGCGTGTTCGCGCCCGTATACAGTCTGTCTCTCTCTCTCTCTCTCTCTCTCTCTCTCTCTCTCTCTCTCTCTTCTTTTCTCTCTCCGTCTCTCTTTCTTTCTCTCCGCTGTTCTCGTCGCGTGTGGCTGCGTAATGTTGTCACCTCGTGCCCGTCGCTATTTATAGGATGCTTCGACGTCGCTTATTAATAGGGGGCCGACTTAACGCCTTCGTTAATTGTGACTTATGTACGGGACGCGAACTCCGCGTCAGTCGCCAGTGGTTTGCGCGGATTTGCAAACGGTCACTGGCGACACCCGGCCGGGAGACTTCCTTGACCATCCGCGCCCCTTCTGCCCCCTTTGGTCCCACGAGTGAATCTCGACGCGATTAAAATTCTTCATAAATTATCGAACGGTCGCGTCGATGGTTCGTTTCAGAACGGAACAATCGCGACGTTCGGATGACGCCGGTATTTCGATCGCTTCAACCCCCCTGGCTAGAGTGTTCCTGAATGATCCTAATATTATCCACGTGGACGTTCACTTATTCACGAGCCGGAGGACTCCGTTTTCGAATTACGATATTATCAGATATTAATACGTGCGACATATAAAGCGAAAGAATAAAGAAACGAGATGGATTAATTTATGAACCGCGAGAGGGATGAGACTGTGCAGGAAGACGGACGAGAATAAAGCTGCTGCAGGCAAAGTCGACAGCTCCTTTAACGAGCTTTATCGGGCGCAATTTTA